TGCTTTATGTAACCATTCATATATTTTTTTTTTTCTAAAGAAAGAAGAAATTCTATATAATACATTAAAAATAGAGTATTTTTGTAAAAACAATGACATTTTTTTATATAATATAAGTATGAAGAAATTTTTCATAATTTGACTCATTCATTGTATAAAATGAATATTAAAATCTTTTCCAAAATATGAAAAATTATTGATTTGACAGATATTTTTATATTTAATAAAAAAAAATAAAACACTTCTTATTATTTTTTATAATCTTAAATGCATAATTATTTTTTTTAAATAACAAATTATTTACTGTAAAAAACTTAAAATACTTAACTATCTTAAATACACTCGTCTATATTCACCAAAATTCATTGAAAACAATTTCGACTTATTAAAAAAAAAAAAAAATCAAAGGCAATTCTGGCATTTATACGGGGACCAAAATCTTCCCATCTAAATCTCAAACATAACGAGTAAAATACCAACCCGTTAACAGAAATTATAAAATCGACAGGCTAAAATCGTCCTCCACAAAACAATCTCCAAATTTCCTAAAATAACCCTCACTCTCTTTTCTCTGTGAGGGCAATATTGTCTTTTCATGTCTCCACAAATCAAATTACTCCACAAGATTTCCCGTCTCTCTCCCATGCTTGCTCCCTGCACTAACACAACTCCATTCCTCTCTCTCTCTTCGCCTTACACATTTTCTTTGTAATTTAATTTTTTGCTGTAAAAGTTTGATTTTCTCCTGCGAATCAGTCACAGGTTTTCAGAGAAAAATGCCTCTCTCTCTCCACTTGTCGTCCTCTCCTTCTGCCATTTGCTGCCCTCCTTCTCCGGCGTCCGCCGTTAACCACCTCATCTTCTTCTCCGGTCTTCCAACAACGCGCCTGTGCTCCAAATCTCTTCATGCCAGTAGTAGGAAGAGATCCCGTGCAGTGTGCTGTAGTTTGGACGTTGTAGGCCCCACTGTCGGTCAGGTCATCGAGGTCAACAAGGATACCTTCTGGCCCATCGTTGAAGCCGCCGGCGAGAAAACCGTGGTCGTCGATATGTACACTCAATGGTATGCTCAGTTTTCTTTATTTATATATGTTTTGCTAATTTGTGTGTTTTATTTACCCTGTGATGAAGAGTAATAAGCTGCAGATTGTGATTTTGTTTCTGTAAGAATATTATGACTTAAAGGAATTCTAATTCTACTCCAATAGAACAATAAATCTAAATAAAAATTTAACTCATAAATGAAGCATAACCAACTAGAGAAGCAACTCATAATTATAAAATCAGAAAATGAAGCTTTTAAATTCTCCGGCTGCAATGGTTCCCCATCATGTCTTATTGGTTACTTTTGATGCTTTTGTTAACCTGCCCTTTCTAACAATTGCTTATTTCACTGGTGAAATTTTTCCATTTAGCCAGTTCTATCATTAAATTTGGTAAGTCAGTGAAAATGCTATAAACTAGGTTTGGAACTCATTATATGAACCGCGTCAAATGCAGGTGCTAACCATTGTGGCAAATGTCTCCTGTTAAAAAAAGTTGTAGTACTTGTTTATCTGTTTGAGAACTTTTGGTTATAACCTTTAGGAAACAGTATTTATAGTCAAGAGTATTTGCTGCAAGGGTGTTGAAGTGGTGAAAAGAATTAGAATACACGATCACATAAATTCATCTCTCTGCTTATGTTGTACGGCCACAAGGCTTATGCCCGTTAGCAATCTGGGAACATGGAGCTGTTATACACGTTTTTGAAAAAACCGTGGAAAATTAATCAGTTTACCGGTCTGGTGTGTCTCCTGAGACCCATGGACTCCAGAAAACAGAGTGGGAAATCTGAAAATTTGAAAATGAGTTCCACCATGCACTCTAGTTAGTTAAATGTAAAAGTTTGCATTTAATCTTTAGAATTTATTCTTGGATTTGGATTAGAATTTAAAAGCACATTAAATTTGTATAGGAATGTGGTTCTTTGGGTTCTAGGAAAAGAGAATGCTAGTTGCTGTAGATTCCTATAAGTATGAAATTCAGATTATGAATAAGCAGTTGGCTATTTGCACAAACTTTGTTTCTTGAAATAAACTATTTACAGAAACTTACAGTGCTTTTCTTGAGATTTACAGTGATTCTCTTGAGATTTTGGGTTACCTCTAGCAAGCCCAACCATAGGCCATCAAGGCAAAAGTTCTAACAAACAAACTTCACGCGTGCTGCAAGATTTTGTTGTATACAGACTTGTGACCAAATCCCAACCATGGGACTGTAACATATTGGTCCCAGAGCATGAGGTCATGAGTGATCTTCGGGTTGTTTCCAGAGGCAGTTTGAGATCATTTCTGAAATTACAT